CCTGGCACCCTTTGGCGTATATATACGCCATGCGCACGGTGGGACATGTTACTCATGGCGTATATATACGCCATGCGCAGTTTAAGGGTTAAATTATCTTAGTATGATCAGCAAACATGTTCATATAATTCTGTATACCAACTGGTAGATCATTTATGTACACAATAAACATCACTGGTGCAAGAACTGAACCCTGTGGTACTCCACTTGTGACATTTCTCCAGTCCGATACATTGCCTCTGATCACTGCCCTCATTTTTCTATCAGTCAGAAAATTTTTCATCCATGTTAGAAGCTTACCTGTCACCCCTCCAATATTTTCCAGTTTCCAGAACAACCTCTTATGTGGAACTCTGTCGAAAGCCTTTTTTAGGTCCAGATAGATGCAGTCAACCCAACCATCTCTTTCCTGTAATATCTCTGTTGCTCAATCATAGAAACTGAGTAAATTCGATACACAGGATCTTCCAGATCGGAAACCATACTGTCTGTCTGATATTATATCATTTCTCTCCAGGTGTTCTACCCATTTAGTTTTAATTATTTTTCCAATATTTTGACTTACATTTGTCAATGATACAGGTCTATAATTAAGGGGGTCTTCCCTGCTTCCACTTTTGTAGATTGGAACTATGTTAGCCTTTTTCCACACATCGGCTACAACTCCTGTAAACAGGGATGCCTGAAAACTCAGTTGAAGTGGAATGCTGAGCTCAGGTGCACATTCTCTCAAAACCCATGGTGAAACTCCATCTGGACCAACTGCTTTGTTCTTATTTAGCTCCTTGAGCATTTTTTCCACTTCGTCTCTAGACACCTCTATGTGCTCTATGTTGTTCTCTGGAATTCTTATTGTGTCTGGTTTCCTGAAGATTTCATTTTGTACAAACACACTTTGGAACTTTTCGTTTAATGTTTCACACATTTCCTTTTCATTTTCCGTGAATCTATTTCCCATATATTGTGTCGTGCCTACGTTCGGCAGGTGAGGCTCTGCGGTCTGGCGTCTTTTTTCGGCCAGGCGCTGGTTCGTGGTTTTTGGATACATATATAAGACCGTCAGCACACAGGTGACTGCCGAGGGCTTGTTGGCCCGTGTTTGGTAGCTCCTATTTCTAAGCATCCGGTCCCACTTATATGCATGTCCAACCCATGTTTCGAATCGATCAAGGGACCCCACCTCATGCATGTTACGGGGTACGGTAGTTGAGGTGCAGGTTATGTACTCACCTGGTTGTTCTTGCGGGGATTGAGCTCTGGCTCTTTGGTCCTGCCTCTCGGCCGTCAATCGCCTGAGATGCAGGCTCCTGGGCCTGCTGGGCTCTATCATATCTACAGTTGAAACTGTCTGGAGTCAGCCTCCTCCACATCTCTACCTCATGCACATGTGCATTAGTAACATGTACCACGGTAACATGTGGTCCTTGTTACTGTGTCAGGATGTTGTGGGTGACGTTTTGCTGCAGTTTTGTGCCTGGATGCGTGTTGGGGGATTGCTTGTGGAGTTTTTCGTGGTCTTATCTGGGGTCCCTCATTCCTTTCCCGTCTTGGAGTGCCTGGCTTGGCCCTTCCATGTTCATTGGTTTCTCTGTCCTCACCTAGTTGTCCGCCCCTGGTTGTGCTTCCTGGGGTTGTGCATTGGCTCTTTTGTCCTGCCTCTTCCCTGTCGCTTCCCTGACATCTACTGGGCTCTGTCATGTCTGCACTTGCAGCTGTGTGTGGGGTCAGCCTCCACTACTTCTCTTCCTCATGCATTCCATTTGTTTACTACTCTGCCACTGGAATGTTTCTTTGGCTCCTTTGGGCGGAGCGCCCAAAGGAGCGCCTGTGTCGCATGGTGCGTGTGCACTTGTGTTTATTAGTCTGTCTTCATTACTCGTACCCCTCAGTTCGGGTACTAGTCTGGTGGCAAACCTTTGCACCTTCTTCAGTTTGGTTTGTTGGGACAGGGTCTGCAACTCTGTGTTTGTTGGCATGATGGCATGACTTGTTGGGACATGGTCTGCAGCTCTGTGAGTTGATTGTGTCCCTTTCGTTCCCGATTTGCTGCATGCCTTCTTCGTTCCTCAACTTCTTGCTTTACTCTTGTCCCTGGCCGCTGGTGCTGGGGCTGTTCTGTCTGTTTTTTTTCTCGTTTTCTCCTACTCACTGTTGTGTGTTTTGTTTGTGGCTTTTGGCCCTCCTGTTGCCAGGTTTGGGTTCCTGTTTTCCTGGCTTGCCCTGCCTGTTGGCATTTTCAGGGTCTCACAGTGTCCTTTCTCTGGCGTCTTTGACCTTCTCTGGAGTCTCGCGTCGGACCCGTAGTCTTCAATCTCCTGGCGAGGGAGCTCGCATTGGGGAGTTTTCAGTTCGGCAGATGTTCCATCTCCTTTGCCGTCTTGGGTTTCTGGCTCTGCTTGCTCGGTGGTTGCACCCGAGATCTTCCCACGGCTCCGCCTCTTCCTAGGCTCAAATGAACTTTGACGGGGCTGGTTAGGTTCTGCCTTGAGTCTCTCGCCTTTGGTTGGTGGTCAGGTGGCTTCGTTGTTGGTGTCCCACCTACGTGCTTCTTAGCGGCAGTATGGGATTTTTTGGTGGTCCTTCCTTTTCCTTCTGTCCCTTCTTAGGTGGCTGCGTTTGTTGGCGTCGGCTTGTCTTTTTCTTGTGGAGGTTCGGGGCCTTCATCTTGCTGCATACTGGCGCCTCGATTCGTGCGGCGCTGGTGGAGCCGCTTCAGCTTGCTTTCGCTCTTGGTGTTACTTTTGCGCAGTTTCGTAAATTGTCTCTTGCGTTGCTTCACCTCCGGCTTGCTCATGCGCCGCCTGAGCCTTCCTGGTCTTTGGACAGCGTGGTCTTTCTTTTTCTCCTCGGTTTGTTGCGACCCCTTCGGTTTGGGTTTGTTTCTCGAAGGCTTTTTTTCCTGTTGGCATTTGCCTCTACGGATCGGGTCGGTGAGCTTCCTGCTCTCCTCCGGCGCAGGGGTTTCTGCTCCTTCGGTCGTGGCGATAGGTTTGTTCGGTTGCAGCCGTCTCCCTCTTTTCTGGCGCAGAATGAGACTGCTGCTTTCCGGAGGGGTCCTTGGTTTGTTGGTGCTTGGTTGGTTGGGCTGGGGGTGCATTGTTTTTTGTGTCTGGTTGCGGCCCTCCTCTGTTATTTGCGCTCCACGGCTTCTGTGTCCGGGACGCACTTTGGGTTGATCCAGCTCCCTTCTTCCCTGTTCACAGGTGAGGGTTTTCCAGGTTGTCTGCCGTGTTATGAAGGCTAGCCAGCCTGCGTTCTATCCCTGTGCCCATGAAGTTCGTAGCTTTGCTGCTCTTGCTGCCGTCTTGACGACATGTCCTGGCTGACATTCGGGCACTTGGCGGTCGTACAGGGTCCTGGCTGCTCAATTTCTCGTGGTCATTCTCCGGCTCATTCGGGCCTGTGTCACCTTGGATTGGTGGTTGCAGCCAGTTGTCTCGACTTGGAGTTGAGAAGTGTGTGGCAACCGCCTCCCGGGTAAGTCCCTCTTATTTCCTCTGTGAGTAGTTAGCTCTGGGAAGTCGAAGGGGCATGCTCCCCTCCCTTCCCCCCAGAAAACCAGCGTTGAATGTAATGAAACACCATTTTCTGGGTGAGACTCGGAGGCTCCCCAGCATCCCTCCGGTCAGCGTTTTTTGCGTTTTTTGACATCCAACCTCAGAACTGATGGTGGATAGCCGGCGCGGTAGGTCTGGGGCTGCACAGACAGTGGCGCGGTGACGTGTGACATCATGATCGTTTACTCGTTTCTTTTAAGGGAGTTCTATCCACTTGTTCGGCTTGTGGTAGCAATTTTCACCAGAATAGGAGTTTGTTTTGGGATGCTTACCTTTCTGGGTGCCTGACCCAGTCGATGGCAGACATAGAATGATTCCAACCACACTGGGGTTTCTATAGGCCATTGCTCCCCTTGCCTATCTGAGAGGGGCCAGGTTCTGGCCTGTGGTCCCCGGTAGGCCCATAGAACTCCATGTACATGACTGATGCCAAAGTTTGACATTAGCATATCAGCCTGGATAAGCTCCGGGGAGCCTCCGGGTCTCACCCAGAAAATGGCGTATCATTACATTCAACACTGTTTTTTTTTGTTTCTGAACATAAAAGTACAGTACAGTAATTATAATATATCATGCAGTGGGTCCCAAGAAAATCAGTTGTAAAGTTCAACCTAAGAAAATAGTTGTGAGGATGATGATAAGGAAAAAACAAGAGATCATTCATAGTTATCTTGAGGTTATCTTGAGATGATTTTGGGGCTTAGTGTCCCCGTGGCCCGGTCCTCGACCAGGCCTCCACCCCCAGGAAGCAGCTAACTCCCAGGTACCTATTTACTGCTAGGTAACAGGGGCATCAGGGTGAAAGAAATTATGCCCATTGTTTCTCGCCGGCACCCGGGATTGAACCTGGGACCACAGGATCACGCGTCTACTGTTCTGTCCACTCAGCCGCTGGCTCCCAGTGAATGAATGTGATGTCTCACTACTAGCAAGTGTTAAAATGTAGGGAAAAACAAGTGTCTTTAGACAGATTCTTAGTAAGATAAGCAAACAGTGAGCCACAACCAGGCCCTAGTGGTATGCCTGCAAAACATAGGAGAGAGATTACCCCAGAAATGTCATCACTGCCTGATGTTATAATGGAAGGGGACTCCCCTTCCAAACACTAACACCTCTCCTCCTCTCCCCCGCCCCCCTCCTCACCATCTTCCATACACCAACAAGAGTCCTCAATAAAGGTAAGATATACTTGTACACACTGTGGTATAAAATGTATTTTAACTTAATATTTTTGGGGGTGTGGAACGGATTAATTAAATTTACATTATTTCTTATGGGAAAATTTATTTCGGTTTTCAAATTTTCGGTTGTCGAACCGTTTCTGGGAACGGATTAAATTTGAAAACAGAGGTACCACTGTATACTGAATATCTTGCTCTGCATCTATTAAAAGTAAGGTATAGTATTTCTAAATTTTGCTGGTTAAAATTTTTTTTCTTTCAGATTGGCCGTGGTATTGTTGTGTTCGTTTGTTTCCTTGACAAGGCATCAGAAGAGACAGTTGAAAAGTTGACTAAACATGTAACCAATGTTCGTCTCTCCGAGAATGATGCTGGCAAGCACGTATCTGTGTGTGACATTCAAGGTGATGTGCTTATCATTCCACAAGCTACATTAGGGGGCCGGTTGAAGGGTAAGGCCATGCAGTATCACATGAATGTTGATAAGGTTCTTGGGAAGGCGCTTTACCATAAGTTTTGCCAGGGAGTGAGGATGGCTGTAGAGGAGGTGTCAAGTGGTAATGTTAAGTGTGGAGTCTATGGGGCAAGACAGATCCTTAGTATGGATACCAATGGCCCATTCACTCATATAATTGATGTGTAATGAATTTCACCATTGATAGATATTGGTAATATAAAATGTTATTTTGCATCATTCCTCAAATTGTTAGAAAAAATCTGTCTTGCATTACAACTGCAGGCAATCTCAAATACTGTATTGTTATTGTATTTTCTGGCTTATAAGACAATTATATTAGTGATATTTTGTGGGAAAAAATAAGTGATTTTCAAGTGGTTTTTGTAGGGGTAAACATGATTTTGTACATGTAACTACTATTAGAGCTCGGTTATCTGATATTGCAGTAACCCGAATAAATTCGCATTCAGTTTTACAGTAAATGACAGGAGTAAGATGGGTAAATGGCAGGAGTAACCGGGATGTGGTACAAAAAATTGCAAACTTGTTCATTTTTGGACAGTCTGGTAAGAAATTACTGTACAGTATTTGCCGTAATATAAGATGCACCCTCACATGAGACGCATCCCTATTTTACAAGGATATTTTGTGGGAAAAAAAACAATTTTAGTATGTTTTATCATACATTTATTGAAAGATATTTTAAAGTGGTTTTGTAAGAAAAAAATGTGTGATTCTGTGCATGAAATACAATATTGTGACAGTATACTGGAATAAAGTATTGCTATACAGGATGCGAAACTGTCATTTCTGAATGTGATGTTTTGTGTTACGGCGACAGACCACCAGGACGGCACACCTGGTGATGCCGCGCCATTGCAGCACTATGGCTTTTTGTCATTCACTCATTGCAAATGGCTGACAGGCAGATGAAAGTTTAACATTACTGTACTTTCAAATTTCTAGGAGCATTTTTCATTTAGATAATGAACAAATGTTTCTTAAAGGTAACGGTCGTTAAATAATGTATGACAAATATCAGGTGTGGGTTATGTATGCTGGGTAAGGAGATGAGATGATATGAGCTTCCCTCATACAGTGGCACCTCGACTTACGATTGCCCCCTACTTACGATAATTTTGAGTTACGATGTAAATTTCACCGAAAAATGTGACTCGACATCCGATGATGTCGTCGACTTACGATATTTGTTGGTACACGTTCGAGTCGACCGAGCGCGGGGTTCCCGGTCACGCGGCCAACCTGCCTCAGTTTACTACAGCTGCCCGCTTAGTGACGATCGCGCCTATAAAAAATTTAGCTTTTTTGGTGATTTTTTTCATTTTGAACATTAAAGTAATTATTATATATCATGCCATGAGTCCCAGGAAAGTCAGTGGTAAGGCTCAACATATGAGATCCCATGTAAGGATGACCATAGAGCAGAAACAAGAGATCATTCGTAAATATGAGGATGATGTGCGGGTTGTTGGACTGGCTAGGCAGTACAACAAATCTCAGTCAATGATATCCACCATACTGGCTAAGAAAAGGACATTATGGGTGCTAAAGTGATGCATCATTACAGACAAATGTTAAAACGAAGGGAAAAACAAATGTCTCTTGACAAATTTGTAGTGAGACAAACAAGCACTGAACCACAACCAGGTCCTAGTGGTATTCAGGCAAAATGTAGGATTGAGAGTACCCCAGAGAAAACATCACTGCCTGATGTGATAATGGAAGGGGACTCCCCTTCCAAACAGTAACAACAGTCCTCCTCCCCCCTCATCACCATCTTCCATATGCCATCAAGAGCCCTCCATAAAGGTAAGGTAAACTTAGGTACTGTATTGTAGTTAGAAAAAAACATTGTATTCAGTATAAAATGTATTTGTATGTTAATATTTTGGAGGGTGGGGAATGGATTAATTCAATTCCCTTTATTTCTTATGGGAAAAATCGCTTCGACTTATGATATTTCGACTTACGATCCGTCTCGGGGAACGAATTAGCATCGTAAGTCGAGGCCCCATTGTAACTGCCAACATATCGTAAGCAATTTTTCGTAAGTTTGTGATACCGTAACAGACTATGATAATTCGGCTTGTTTTCAATATTTTATTATTAGCAACGATTTTTGTGCCTAGCAAACTTACCCAGTATGCTCGTTTGGCTCCCTAGCCGACAGTGCTCGGTCTCCCATCCACAATACGGCTGCTTTTTGACGCAGGGCATTTTTTTGATAATTTAAAATAAAAAATGCATCTTATACGCTGGCTAATAGGGTGGTTTAAGTCAATTGTTTAGTTAACTTGAATAGGGGTGAGCCCTATATAATTCAGATTACTGAGTGTAGCCAGTACAATATATATATATATATATATATATATATATATATATATATATATATATATATATATATATATATATATATATATATATATATATATATAATATATATATATATTCAGTTGGTGTTGAACAAATGTACCTCCTCCTCCTATTCACAGGAAAATATAGTAATTACTGTTACAAGTTTTCATTGAGGAAGTTAGGTATTTGTACGCATTAATGTCATAATGGTGGATTGGTTGATATATGTATGACGTATGCAAGAGATATGTAGTGTTCTCATAGATGTTCTCAAAATATATGAATAAGGTCATGAAAGAGGTCAAGAAAAAAAAATACAAAAGTGTGGTGTGTGTGTGACATTAATATATGACAGGAATTAGGGAGTTTGACATTTAATGTAGTTCCTGCAAAGAATTACATGTAGTTTACAATTTTGTTGCATGACAGAAGACTGCTGAAAGTGAATGAGGAAAACATTAAAGTAATGGAGGAGAGAGTAGAAAACTGTCTAATTAGGGTAAGTTGAGAACTACTAGTAGTTAATCAGTTAAAATAAATAGGTTTGGTGAGTGATAAAAAGAGGAATTAATGTAAATAGGAAAGGAAAGAGAGCTGCATGAAGGATAGATGGTATCAGTCCTTATGTACAGTGTGGCATGAGTATGCAAATCGAGAATAGGAGCAAAAAGAGAAAATCTAATAAGCATGCATGGTGTTAAGAGGGTAAAATATGTATGTTAGGGGAGACAAAATTTTGATTGCAAAGTTTGATATATTGTAAGATTGAGCAAAGTATGCAGAGATCATTTGAAATGTAAATTTGAAAGTTGAGGAAGAAGATATATAAACATGACAAGTGTTTGTGTGCAGTCTTGAGTGTAAACATAGCATATGAAGTGTACAAGGTGGAAGCTGTTTGTTTAGGAGTGAATGTTAGTCTTGTATACTGTACCTACTTGATAAATGAGCATCACTTTACACCAAATTTTATTTAATGTTGCTGCTGTGAATATTTTACTGGTGGTGCTAATTGTCCATGTTACTATAGAGAGAAAATATTATGGTGGTGAATCGAGAGATTATTTAAAATTTTTTAGCCCTCTTTTAATACTGCTCTCTTATTGTTTCCCCATGAATGTAAGAAATGGAAAGTGATGACTACTTGTAAAATGAATTGAGATCCAGAGTGAAATAAAACCTGTGCATTTTAAATTACTAAACTTTGAAATGATCTAAAATAAGGCTGACAGACAGGTAGTTGGTAGTATTGAAATTCATCATCATTTTGTAGACATACTGTAATTAAATACAATATACTAATACTTTTTGTTTTAGTTGATGTTGGTCCCAATTACTGCTCAACTACTAATTATCAAATACAAAAATGTAACTGCTTGAAGTTATCAAGTTATTCATTGTTAAGAAGAGCCAATTAGATGCAAGATTATTGAGTTTCAGGTGGCATTATGGTAAATACTGGATACTAATTAAGAAATTTGCCATGAAAAGGTTAGTAGATTATTCAAATGATAATTGCATTTGGAAATTATAAATTGCAAGTTGTAAGATGTATAATGATTAACCCTTAACATGCTAGGGGTATAATATCCTTTGTTCCCCACAGGTGCATGTAATTTTGAAAAAAAAAAAAAAAATTCTTGCTAATCTGTTAATTTGTGTTCACTGATCATGGGAAAAATAATAAAAAAATCGTAAGTGGCATATATTGCCCGCTATAGGGTGGGGAAGTCTGGCAAAAAACAGGCGCTGACTCAGCGTGCGTCCCAGGCGGTCTGTTGATCGCCAGCTGTCAGGTTGGAGTTGCCACAAAGAGATAATTACCTAATTATTTCAATGTCTCTGATTGATTTTTCGTAGTTTTTTTGCTGTAATATTATTCAATAGTGTGTAGTTTGATATATTTATATAATAAAATGAGTGAATCATCGCTGTACTCAAAAATATGGTGTGCATATTGTTGATTCAATTATGTTCATCAATCAGTGAACAAATACTTTGTTGGTTATTACACTATATACACAGGTTATATATAAGTATCTGCATGTTTTGTTCACCATAACGAACCACTAAGTTGCTATTATGAGTCAAAAAGTAACGAGGAGTGACCGCCGTGTACCAGCCAGCCACTCACGCCCTCCCTCAAGTCACCTGACTCGCCCACATTCTCCTCCCACAATACTGTTTTTGCTTTTATTCACTATATACAGATGCTATATATAAGTATCTACATTCGTGTTCACCATAACGAACCACTAAGTTGGTATGCTGAGTGGCAGTGGCAGGCAGTGGCAGCCGCCACTGGCTGCCACTCCCTCCCTCACCTCACCTGACTTGCCACCATTCTCCACCCACCATACTGTTTTTGCTTTTATATACAGACGTTATATATAAGTATTTACATGTTTTGTTCACCATAACTGTACATCTAAGCTTGTATGGTGAGTAAAGGCACAAAGACATAGGACCTCACACAGTCAGCTGATGGCTGCCGCCCTCAAGGCCAGACGCACTAATATTTCTCCTCCAACAATACTGTTTGTGGTGTTATTACGCTATATACACACATTATATATAAATATCTACCTGTTTGATTCACCATACTTGTACAAGTAAACTGGTATGGTGCCCAAAGTCCATCGTGGTAACCAGTAAACAACACCGTCGTCTGCACGACGTCACCGTGCAGACGACGCCACCGCCCTCACCAAAATGGCGGCTCCCAACCTACTCCTCCTGCTGTTTATACCCTCTATACACACGTTATATATAAGTATCTACATTTGTGTTCACCATAGCGAACCACTAAGCTGGTATGGTAAGTGCAGTCAATAGAAGGTGGCCACACAGTCAGAAGACATCGCCACCACCCTCCCTCCCACAGCATTACTCCTCCCTCCATGGCGCACAGCGCTAAATATCGCCACAATCCTGCTATTATCAGAACCCTGGTCAGTTTTATCACAGTCAGGGGTCTTCTGTAATAATATCATCGCTACATAATAGCATGAACAAGTATATTATGGCATTTTTAGGCGATGCTGTGGTCACAAGCTGAACAGCAGTGCTGTGAGCTTATGCTGCGTGCGTCAGGCTTGGTAGCTCACTCAATACTGAGGCCCCTAACACCCGGGAGTTTGGCCCACGATTTTTTTTAAATGGTGTCTGTTTACAAGAGCCCTGATGAAGGTGTGGTGAACCCCGTGTATCCGCGGGCCGTTTAAATCTTGCATAGTACTCCAACACGTCATATGATGTGTTGCGCACTTTTTCGGTAAGTTACTCAACACGTCATATGACGTGTTGCGCAGTTTAAGAGTTAAAATCCGAAATGATATACAGTGTAGTGCTATATTAGTTCTGGTCATCAGTCACAGAGTCCTTTAACCTACCGGGGACCACGAGCCAGAACCTGGCACCCTCAGAGAAGTGCAGGGAGCAATGACCTATGAGCACTTTACATTTAAAGTACTGTACTGTATGTCATAATTGCCATCCACCATAAAAGAACCCAGAAAGGTAGATGAATCAAAACAGATCACTGTCTGGTTATGGTATGCAAGCTACATCCTCAAAAAGAAAATATCTTTCCCCAGAAAGAAGACAAACAAGCAACACGTCATCCAACTAGCTCCCCTCCCTTGCAGGGAGGGAGAGATACCCCGGGTGAGCCGGCAGGCCACCACCTCAGTTCTTAAACTGATGTGCTGGCGGTCAGACATCACCTCTGGCCTCAAATTCCTATTCTGGATTTTTGCCTTGTGTGGCTGTTCTGGCTTGTGGGTTGTGTGGCGGCCAGATGTACTAGTGTACAGGAGCTGCACGCATCTAGGGTTCCCTAG